ACAATAAACCTCCAGCTCACTTCGATCTCGACTCGGTGGCGCTCCTCAGCCTCATCTCTCTCCCGGCTCCTGTTCCTCAGCTCGGCCTTCGTCTTGTCCAGGTTCCTCTTGGAGATCTCCCAGAAGGCCTGGATCTTGTCTCTCTCCAGCTGGAAGTAGCTCTTCTCCTCTTGCTCGCGGTCCAGCTCCTCCCGGAGGTGGATGATGTGTTCCTCCAGCTGGAGGTCAGACACACTCAGGTCACTGAAACGTACCGCTCAAAACTGCAGTTTGCAGGAAATACACAGAGCCTCAAACTTCATCTGGTTGTGGTGTTTCAGGCTGAGGTTACAGGTGTACCTAATGAAGTGGACAGTGTACTTGTTATTTTAGATCATAATCGGGCCTGTTAGTGTTGGACTGTGGGCCCGGGCCGGGCCGCGGACCCCCTGATGGACCCCCTCACACCTCCACACACTGTGAGAGGCTAACGTTAGCACCGTTAGCAGCTCTGACCTGATCCTTGGACATGTCCTCCGTGGACAGACCGTCCATCACCGTGGAAGACTTCACGTTCCCGCCCTTCTTCTTGCTTTTAGCCTTCGGCGGCTGGGGACAGAAGCGTAAGAGGCGCGTGACGTTCCGCTCATCGGGATAACAGGCTAGAGCTAAGCTAACATGCTAACAACAACATGACTGAGAAAATCACCGGTTAAAGTAAAACTTTACTCACCATCGCGACGCACTGCGCAGACTCACAGGGATCCGGAAACTTTAATTATCCTGACAGAAAACTGCGGCTGAAGTTAAACACGTTAGCTGTTAGTTATCTGAGCCTCAGCTCCACTAGCAACAAAAGACGCTGTCATGGCAACGCAGGACCGTATAACGCGTGTGTGTGTGTGTGTGTGTGTGTGTGTACGGGTATTAACGTCTTCGTGGGGACCAAAAATTCGAGGTTTACTATACTTGTGGGGACCAACAGCCCCAATTTTGAGACTAAAATTGTGGTTTTAGCGCGAGGGTTTGTGTCCGGCGTTCATTGCAGATGGTTAGAGAGACCTTTGTGTCAATTAGATGCTCCCACAAGACATGAATAACCCACGTGTGTGTGTGTTTTGTGCCTTGTACAGTTTTCTCTTATAAATTATATTTAAAGTCTTAAACTGATGCTTTTTGGTCATCAGGCCTCCGAGAGAAAATTTGAGAACAAATTTTTATTTGAATCATTTGTAAGCAGAAAAAACTTGAAGCATGAATATTTCTTGCTGGTTTAGTTTATTATTATTTTGCAGTGACTCTGAAATAAACTGACATCATTTATTCAAAGATCACTTTTATAAATTTACATATAATATTAAAGATCTGCATCTGCTGCTCCAGCCTGCTCGTCATATTTTTGTACATAAACTGATTCAGCAACGTGAAAATAATTAGACTGTATCTAAAAGATGGAAATGGTCTCTCCTGGGCATGTGGGAGGGGCTCCTGTGTTCTGATTGGATAGAAGTTGCTGAGGAAAGCGCTGATCTCGGTAAACTGCTTCCTGATTGGTTCATGGTCTCAGTCACTGCCAGGTCTGACTCAATGAAAGTTAATTTTTGGAGGTGATGGTCCTTTGATAGTAAGGGAGGAGCAGGACGCGGGGGAGGAGTCTCAGTCAGACCCGCCCCTCACCCATGGTAACTGGTTTAAAGAAGTCAGGAGGAGCTCCGCAGCTGCTTTCTATCTGCAGAGGATTCTGGGTAAGGTAATACACACAGGTGTCGGAGGCGTGTCCTTCAGGTCGGGGCCTGCACTGGTTGCTGACGTCGGAGCAGCAGTACGGGGTTTCCACCTCGCACTCAGGGGCTGGGCCGGGCTCCACGTCGGCGTGTCCGATCTCCTCGTAGACCACCTCGCTCAGCACCGCCCTCGTGTCCCTCGCTGCTTTCTCGGCTTTCCACAGTCTCAGAGTCAACATGGACGACAGCACCAGCGCAGCTCCTGCCAGCACGCCAACAGGAACTTTCCACAAGTCTGACGGGGGCGCTGTGTCAGCACCTGCAGCCGTCACGGCAGGGTCGTCCTTTCTCCCCGTGACGGTTTGATCCACCACGCTGGGGTCTGTGGTCACATTCAGATAGGCCGTCATCCTCTCGTTGCACAGATACATCGAAGTATCAGACTCCACAACGTTCCTGATAAGCAGCTCGTTGTTGTCACGGGAACCGAAGCGCTCCGAACTGCTGTTCACGTGACCGTCGCTGACGGTGAGAAGAGTCACCCGGGTGCCTCCTATAGCTCGGCTCCAGGTCACATGTCCCTGAGCGTGAGGACAGGTGAGCACAGCGTCCGTGTGCTGCCGAGCGCTGACTGTGAGGATTTCTGTCAAAAAAGCAGAAATGATGACGTCACACGTCTGATTCACGCCGCGCTGCCTTCCTTCCTTCCCTCCAGTTATTTTCATCTTTTAAACATTTAAAGGACATTTCCTCTTTGTCTGTCTTTAGTCTGTTGGTTCATGTTACGCTTTATTTAAATAAAAACTTGGACTGTTGTTGAGATTCAGGAGCCTGAGGAACCAACAAACTGCTCTCTGACAGGAAGCAGCCTTCAGGGCTCTGATGGACGGCTCAGCGATGTGTTTAAAATAAATGTCTTAACTTTAAATATAAATATTTGCATTTTATTCATTTTGCTTCTGAAGGCCACAGACTTGAGTTTTCTGGACTTGTTGACCTGATAATAAAAATTCTGCTTGTTTGATTTGTCGTTTAGTTCAGTCTCCGTGACTCTGCTGCGACAGCTGCAGTCGTGCACGTCACGCATATATCAGGTGTATTAAAGCACCGTTGGCAGCACAGAGCTCATAGTGAAACCTGAATTTATCTCATATAATAAGAAGGTTAGTTTGCTTTAATAAGTTTATGTGAATTGTGCCAGTGCAGTGATCCACAGTCAGAGTCAGCAGGTATAAGCCGGCCTCTTTGATGATGTCATTATGTTCTGGGGTTAAAACCACCGTGAGCTGCAGGAGGTGTCCCTGTGGACATCGTTATGGTCATTATGGACAAACTGGGATTTGTGAACACAGGCCCCTCCCAACTATGAGCGTTGAAGTCTCCCAGCAGAACGATGGAGTCCCCCCCACCAGGTGACTCCACGTAGGTAATCTGAACTGCATTTGTCATGTAGCAGTCAGGACCCCGACCCAGAGCTGCAGGGAAGCAACTCTCTCATGGACTGAGGGGATACAGGTACCAGCCCCCCGCCTCGTGCCCAGGGCGACTGCAGGAACTTGGTTCCACTGCCCAGCCACCTACAGTTGGGCCATGGGCGGAGCCCCACAGGACTGACTCCATTGGCTCCTCTCCTCAGACTCCTGCCCTGAACCTGAACCCAGTGAGCAGTGGAAAAATGGACGGCTGGAGTTTTGTTTAAATTAAAACACTTCATCCGATGTTACAGCCTGGATGCTGAAGCCTTTTAAACCTGCATTCTTAGTTCTGCCAGCAGGGGGCGATGGAGAGACGTCTGTGAGGACAGTTCTGCTGATCTCTGAGCTTACTCAACACCTCCCTGCTGCTTTCAGGTCTGTGTGAATAAAACATGAAGTTTATTTTGGAAGTTTTGGTCTCGTTTGAGTCGCAGGAGGCGGCGAGGGTTCAGGGCAGCGCTGGAAGTGTGGTTATGTGTGTTTAGGCTCAGTTTCTCAGTCAGACTGACTCATGGTTAAAAACACAGCGAGCCCCACAGAGAGGACACATGAACGGCAAATAAAGTGAAACCTGCACGCGGATCAAACAGCTCCAGAAACAGCGTCTACACTTTCATAAGACCGACTCCAGTTTCTGTCCTTTTGTTCTGCGTCATATAATCGTCATATAACAGCCTTTATCTTCCTTAGATAAGCAAAGTGTTACATTGTTGCAGCTGTAATCGTGATAACACGCTGACGGAGGCGTTCTTACCTGCAGCGCCGTGACAGACGTGGACACACAGGAGAAGGCCGGCGTAGAGCAGCATGTCTGCAGACGTCTGAGCGGCGGCAGCAGCGTTTCCATGAAAGAGGAACTTCTGAGTGATGGGTGGCGCTTATGGCGCGGCTGCAAACACTCGCTCCCAATTTGCTGACATCACACAGAGTGACTTTTGAACAAAAACAATGTTTTTAAAACACTATTTTCTCTAGTTTTGTGCCATATGCAGGTATTAAAGTTCCTCATTTACGTTTTTATCATCTTAAGTTATTTCAAACGGGACCAGTTAAACAGCAGGTAGGCGGGACTCGCCCTGGCACTCTCCACCCTGCAGCGACCCTCATGAACGGCGTTTGGGGATCAACCTGATCTCTCTGGTCTTGATTTGCAGATACAGTCCTGATCAAAAGCTTCAGACCAAAACTCAAACTCGTCTCCATCTGCAGGTCTGTGATCCTCAGCTTCCTGTTCTCACTGACAGATCCCAGAGCCACGTTCAGTCACTCTCACCACCTTTCTTCATCATTCTGATGCTCAGTTTGGACTTCAGCAGCTCGCCTTCACCACGTCTACACGTCTGCACGCGCCGAGCTGCTGCTGTGTGTCTCTGATATTTGAGTGAACATGAACCGTTTGGTTTCAGCCACGTGAACACATGTGTCAGCTTTTATTTTTAGACAACTTCCTGTCAAAGACAAACTCTTACAACATCATATTTGTCTTCTGTACATCAGAGTTCATGTTTCTTGCCTCTAAAACATTTTATTTTCATTAAATATGGCGTCTACAGTCGGCGCCGAGGCTCTACGGTTGGTCCGTGCCGCTCGGTCGGCCGGTCTTTGATAAATCTCCAAACGACGCGGTGGCCGAGCCTCGCTTCGCCGGTTTGGCCTGAAAGAGAAAAAACGCTGAAGTCATGGATCTAAACTCAGGTTTTTCTAAAAGCAGAAGCTGTTTGTTATTCTGCCACGATGGCGTCCTAAAGATGGAGGTCGCTCCACCGTGAACGCAGCAGAAACAGGCTGAAGCGCACGGAGCATCAGACGTTCTCACCTGAGACTCGTGAGGCTTCCAGCCAATCATGTAGAGGATCTCAAAGGTGGCGGGGACGGAGCCGTCCTCGCTGCCGTACATCTCTGAAACATTTCAGGCACATGAGACAAACACAGTGACACATGAAGCGCCGCGCTGTGACTAACGCTTCAGCCTGACGCGTCACCGATGAGCAAACAACACGAGTGGAAAGCAGAAGTGTCAGAAACAGCGTCGGCTCTGACTTCAGTGTTTATTCGACTATCGTTACAAATAACAGTTTGTTAGCAGAGACGCAGATTCAAACCCAGAACCTTCTCACGTCAGAACGCGGCGCCGCACGTGCTCGTGAGAACAATGTCAACCTCATTCAAACTGAGGCCACGCCTCCACCTCTGAGCTGTTACCTACAGCCTGTGCTCAAGCTCAGAAGGCCTTTATCCCTTTAAACCCTCACCTAGCGTCAGGTTAGAGTCTAAAGCAGAGGTGTCGGACTCCAGGCCTCGAGGGCCGGCGTCCTGCAGGTTTAGATCTCACCCTGGGTCAACACACCTGATGATTAGTTCATTACCAGCCTCTGAAGAACTTCAAGACATGTTGAGGAGGTCATTTATCCATTTAAATCAGCTGTGTTGGATCAAGGACTCATCTAAACCTGCCGGACACCGGCCCTCGAGGCCTGGAGTTGGACACCCCTATTAAAGGGTGATCAGGTGTTCTTCATCCTCTGTTCCTCTCCTCATCCCTCCGGTTCGTGCACCTTTTCTGGCTTCCTGCTCAGACGAGGTGAACATGGAGCAGACTGATTGCCTCGCGTGCACCGGGCGGTACGAACAAAATCCACACATTTTGTGGATCTGACGCTGCTAACACTCATCAGTGCATCACATGTCATTGAGCACCAATCAGACAGCAGCTCAGACTCACCTTTGTAAATCGCTGCTGCTGCTAAGATGGTGTCTCTGTGCAGCAGCGACTTCCTGTTCCACGCGCAGTTACTCTCACCCATACCTGCACACAGCACAAACACTGCACTGAACTTTGACCTTTAATCAAAGGTTTGTTTAAACTAACAGCCTCACGAATGATCAAACCGCAGTGAGGTCATCAGACAGTTTTAGCTTAAACAGCGAATCCTGAACCGCGCTCTTATTCAGGAGGAACCTCTGCTGCTCGGTTTGAAGCCTGTTTGCAGGTAAATGAAAGCAGCACGTTCACTGATGAGCTCCATCCTGGGACTCGTCACCTAAAGCTGTGCTGACGACTCAGAGTCGCTGTGATCAAACTGAAGTCGTCATTTCTGGCTCTGCACTCATCAGCTGCAGATCCTCAGCGTGCAGTTCGCTTTGCTTCCACGTGAGGACGACTGTGGAGCCACGTTTGAACGTTTCAGGAACGACGTGATTCAAACGAACGGTTCCCAGCTCGTACCTTGTAAATCCGTCATGACTTCCATGATTCCTGGATAATGAACCTGAATCTCATCGATGTCCTGGAACAAAGAGGCAGAGGGGTCAGAGGTCACTGTGAGCTGATGCTAAACATTCTGCGTGTTTAACAAACGCGGCCACGCTGACTCACCACAGTGAGCATGTTGAAGCCAGCTTGGCCCAGCAGGTTTCCCAGGTCGGTGACGGCGGTGTAGGGGGAGATGTGGGGCGAGAACCCGCCCTCCCGCTCCGTCTCGGCCAGCTGCAGGGAACAGCGCAGCTCGTAGAGCGTCTCGCCACCCACCATCGCTCCGATGAACACCCCGTCCGGCTTCAGCACCTGGTGGATCTGAGAGGACGGCGCACAGTGAAACGTTAGCGGGCGAGCTGCAGTCAGTCGTGGTATCGCAACAAGTTCATCTCACCTGTCTGAGAGCGCCGGGCAGGTCGTTGATCCAGTGCAGACTGAAACGCATGAAGCTCAGCTGCAGTTTTAATGAGCACATGATGTTCATAACAAACCCTGGTGACCTCTGACCCTCTCAGTCTAGACCCACTTTATTTCACACATTTGATTTTTTTAACCTTAAAATCACTCGCTGCATTTCTGGACATAAAAATCTAACGACATGATTATCGGTTATTATTTATTTACGATGTCCTTCAGTTCTATTAGCAACCATTTAAAATATATGATGAATTTAATCGTTTCAAACTGTGACAATCAGCACGAATCACGATTAATATATTTGACTTCATTTATATTAAACAGTGTAAAAGAAACATAAACAGGCTGCAGACAGGAAGATGCTGCCAACACCGGAAACGTGCACACAAATGATAAAAAAGACACAAAAAACAAGAAAACATGAACCTGACATAAAACACTGCTGCAGGAAACCATTAAAAAAGCTCAGACGCCATCTCGTGGCTGAAGTTGGTACTGCAGCAAACAGTCGGTCACTCAAACCTTTTCTGTGAAACGAGCTGCACTGAAACGAGCTGCAGTGAAACGAGCTGCTGTGAAACGAGCTGCACTGAAAC